TGAAAGATGTTACCAGATCTAATGATATCCTTTGTTTTGCAGCGTCTGTGCACCAACGATCGCGTGTGTGGGCGCGGCCAGTTCTGCGACCAGCACTACGGCGTGTGTCGGGACCACGTGACGGAGGGACACGAGTGTCGTCGGGACGCCATGTGTGAGGGCGGATACGCCTGCATGTTCGGCCTGTGCCAAAAGCGCATCAAGCGTGGGCGTGAGGGCGCCAGGTGCCGCAAGGAGCGGGATTGTGGAGCAGGGATGTGCTGCGCCCGTCGCCATGGAGAGCAGGTGTGTCAGCGGCGTGTGCCGTTGGGCCACAAGTGCTACGTCCCTGAGGGCGGCCTCGACTACTCCATGAACCAGCTTTGTCCGTGCGAGAGCGGCCTTGTGTGCAAATACACGGCTCAACAGCCTCCTTCCAGGCACCAGCTCATGGCCCTCATGTCGGCGTACGAGGACATGCGCTGCGCAGCGCCCTCGCACCGCGTCGACTGACATGTCAGGAATCGATTTGTTCTCACTGTATTTATCCCAGATGAACTTCTAGTCAAAAATATATCTTGAATAAGCTAATAAACTGTGTACCTTATATTCCGTCTGACTGAATTTAATCCTCCCTCATTATTAAACTTACCTATTGACTTTGAATGAAGTCAGTATGTACAGTAAATAAATAAATAATAAAAAAGTAATGGTAACAATATCAACATTATTATTCATGGTAAATGTAACTGCTAAAAGGTTAATTTACAGTAATCTTCATTTAGAAATTTGTGACATGATGAACACCATATCCCTTCGATCACTTTTAAAAAAACAAATGAAATAATATATATGTATATATATATATATATATATATATATATATATATATATTCTATATTCAAAGCACATGGAACATTTCGTGACTACATCTCTTGTCTATCGTTAATAGAAATGAAGTCCCTAAAATTGTGCTGCAGAGCTTTTTTTCTCATCCAGACCTTCTATATGCTGTTGCTATTTAGGTGGAAGAATAATGATTACCAATTTTCTGTATGACATAAAGGAATAAATATTACATAAGTTAATAAAAACAAAAACGTATAAAATAATGGAAAAGCTAGGGTGTACATTTTGTGTTCCAGTCAGCATTGCCTCTGCATTGCAAGTGACAAGATTCGACTTTCAGATTTCAGATTTAACAGTCTCTTGGAAGTTATTAAGTACATTCAGTTGTTCCACGTCATGTATGTGCGTATGTATATATGTATGTAATAAATGCACAAGCACACACACATGTAGCAATATCATAGCCTCCTCTGAAATATGCCTAGTCATGAACTTTTGATTACTTTTATTTCTTTCTCTTACAATAAATAGTATTCACATGTGCACTTTGTAAAATGTATGATCTTTTCATGTCAAATGCCAAATGATTGTTTATTTACATATTTATGTTGTCGAAAAAATTGTAAGTCCTCAGTCTACTGTAAATAAATTTCCTCAGGAAGCTGATAAAGTATGACTAAATTAGAAATTTTATACAAACATTATTTTACAATAACTTTTCTATTTTTTGCTCCTGTTGATGATAAGCCAAACAGACTAAACATGGTTGTACACAGTTTGTCTATTCCGGAATTGATACTGCCGTCAACCGGAATAGGTACACGCATATATATATATATATATATATATATATATATATATATATATATATATATATATATATATATATATATATATATTATATATATATATATATATATATATATATATATATATATATATATATATAATATATGTATGTATGTATGGTTACGATCATTCTTTGAATAAAGGAATCAGTTGAAATAATTGTTCATATTCATTCCTTTCGCTTTCATTTGACTTTTAGCTGTCACGAACATCTAAATGGACTACTGTAAGCTGACGATTTTCCAATTGCTACAACTATGGTTATGTATCTATAGATATATCTACATTCATATGCTTAATCATCTATCTAATAGTGTATCTATTTACCTATCCAGACAACTGTAAACATTGGATACTTGATGCGATTAACTCAGCGTTTTTCTTTCGAATCATACTTTGAATATATCTTGGAGAACTTTGTTCTTCATTTTTACAACTGACCTAGTTATCATCAATAGGTAATTAGAGGGAGTATTAAATTCAGACGTCATAAGGTACCTTAGACGTAGCTATTTATCTTAATTATTTATAATTTATTTATCTGTTCATTTAGCTAAAGTTATAGTCTATAAATACAACTGTAAACATGGGGAATCTTAGGGCGATTTAACAACGATTTTTCTTTCGAATTATTACGTCTGATGTCTTTTAGTGAGACATTTTTGAGGGTTTTACCGTATCTACTGACCTAGTTTATTTGCACTGTGTAGTTCTAATATTGAGGGAGGGTTGAATTCAGACAGTTCGGGAAATTAGAGAAAGTTTATTAACTTATGCGAGATAAATTACTGACTAGAATTTCATCTGGGATAAACATAGTGAAACACAATCGACTCCTTTCATGTCAGTCGACGCGGTGCGAGGCGCTGCGCACCGCATGTCCTCGTGCGCCGACATGAGGGCCATGAGCTGGTGCCTGGAAGGAGGCTGTTGAGCCGTGTATTTGCACACAAGGCCGCTCTCGCACGGACAAAGCTGGTTCATGGAGTAGTCGAGGCCGCCCTCAGGGACGTAGCACTTGTGGCCCAACGGCACACGCCGCTGACACACCTGCTCTCCATGGCGACGGGCGCAGCACATCCCTGCTCCACAATCCCGCTCCTTGCGGCACCTGGCGCCCTCACGCCCACGCTTGATGCGCTTTTGGCACAGGCCGAACATGCAGGCGTATCCGCCCTCACACATGGCGTCCCGACGACACTCGTGTCCCTCCGTCACGTGGTCCCGACACACGCCGTAGTGCTGGTCGCAGAACTGGCCGCGCCCACACACGCGATCGTTGGTGCACAGACGCTGCAAAACAAAGGATATCATTAGATCTGGTAACATCTTTCACTAGTAACAACCTTTTACATATATGTTTTCTTATATACGAAAGGAATTGATGTAGAAAGTTGTACTTACCAAGTGTTTGTAGAAGTCGAAGGGTTGATCTGTCGTCAGTTGATGGGAGTTGTGACGGCCGCCACTGATGTCGCGGATGTTATGGCGACCTGCTTTATGGAGGCGTCTGAAGAGCCAGGAAAGTCCTTGTGCCATGCAGGGGGTCACCAGGCACCCCACCGTCAGGAAGAAGAGACACAAGTTCATGGTTTCTTATCAAGGAAAGGAGTGTGCACTTGAGAGTGAATTGAGTGTGCGTCACCTGTCTGGCTAGTACTGACCTGATCACAGTCTCTGGTCTCATATATATGAGAGGACTGATCACGTGACGTCGTTTAGGACCTGATCCACCTGTTATAGACGTTACGGGAAAAACATAATAGAAGATTTACGGAGGTTAACTTAGGTCAAAGTAGGTACGATGGGCGGGCAAGTTATAATCACTTGCCCGCCCCCTGGACACATAATCCTCTCACCTGTCCTGATTCCCCGTTCCTGTCCGCTGTGGATCCGAATTGTAAGGATATGGATACAAGGAAGTGTACTGTTTTTAATGAAACGCATCACAGAAACAATCACATTTAAAGAAATGAGCAATATCTTAATTTTAGGAATCAAACACAAGGAAACTATATGTATGCCTGGCAGTGTTTTATTTATGGGATAATCTGGTCATGATATCCTAAATGAATGCACACGCCACCATACAAACGATAGTGCACTTCATACAAACATGAAATCATATAAATATTCATATTAGCTATAGGATCTGATTATCAAGAGTCTTGGATATGGGAGCTTAATCCGGTCAAAGGGTGGGGCAGCAATTATGACTTGCCCGCCCATCGTACCTACTTTGACCCGAGATGCCCTGCAAGTAACCCAAAGACGGGATTATGTGACCGCTTTTCTCGCCTTGAACAAAAGATTCTAAAGAATTTCAGTTAGTTAAACCCACATTTTTATTCATACTCATGTCGTACACATCGTGGGCTCTTACGACCACAGGCCCAACAGCCCAAGGGTCTACACACCTGTTCATGACAAGTATGCCTGCTGCCTCTTCCCTGTTCCTTCGACTCTGTTGGTCACTGAATAGTTAAGGAACGGCATGCACATTCGGTGGAGCACCGGCACTGTAGAATCCAGTATTTATGTTTAATACACGCGCATTTAATATGACATTCAGTGCTAATGTAAACAGAACAATAAGATTTGAAATACATCCACTAAGTACTCATAAACACATGATGGAGGTTTGTGAATGTTTTTTGGACAATCAGTGGAGTGGTATAGTATTAACACACAAATAAGTTAATCAATATACGATCAGATAAGTCAAGTTTTAATATGGGGTGGTTCAAAATTTTTATTTTCACGAGCTTTAAATAAAATATCTTTTAAATTTTCTTTTCATAAGTTTTAAAGGGGCTCATGTGAAATGATGGTCATTTTGTCAAAAACTTCTAAATGGTGACTACTGAAAGTTTGCCATTTTATGATTACATTTACCATGAATGATAGTGTTGAGATTGTTTCCATTTTGGTTACATCTACATCTACATATATATATATATATATATATATATATATATATATATATATATATATATATATATATATATATATATATATATATATATTCATATCTGTATTTGTGTCTATGCACTCATCATTTATGTAATTAGCTATTAATTTTGCAAGATAAAACAACTGTAAACTTTGGACTTTTAATTTGATTTTTAAGGCTTTACGGACGTAGTTCATCTTTATTGGGTACGTTTGATAATGAGGGATGATTAAATTCAGACAGACGGAATATAAGGTAAGGTTTATTAGCTTATATAAAATACATTGCTGACTAGAAGTTCATCTGGGATAAATATATTGAGAACACAATCGACTCCTGACATGTCAGTCGACGCGGTGCGAGGGCGCTGCGCGCAGCGCATGTCCTCGTGCGCCGACATGAGGGCCATGAGCTGGTGCCTGGAAGGAGGCTGTTGAGCCGTGTATTTGCACACAAGGCCGCTCTCGCACGGACAAAGCTGGTTCATGGAGTAGTCGAGGCCGCCCTCAGGGACGTAGCACTTGTGGCCCAACGGCACACGCCGCTGACACCTGCTCTCCATGGCGACGGGCGCAGCACATCCCTGCTCCACAATCCCGCTCCTTGCGGCACCTGGCGCCCTCACGCCCACGCTTGATGCGCTTTTGGCACAGGCCGAACATGCAGCGTATCCGCCCTCACACATGGCGTCCCGACGACACTCGTGTCCCTCCGTCACGTGGTCCCGACACACGCCGTAGTGCTGGTCGCAGAACTGGCCGCGCCCACACACGCGGTCGTTGGTGCACAGACGCTGCAAAACAAAGGATATCATTAGATTGGTAACATCTTTCACTAGTACAAACCTTTTACATATGTTTTCTTATATACGAAAGGAATTGATGTAGAAAGTTGTACTTACCAAGTGTTTGTAGAAGTCGAAGGGTTGATCTGTCATCAGTTGATGGGAGTTGTGACGGCCGCCACTGATGTCGCGGATGTTATGGCGACCTGCTTTATGGAGGCGTCTGAAGAGCCAGGAAAGTCCTTTGCCATGCAGGGGTCACCAGGCACCCACCGTCAGGAAGAAGAGACACAAGTTCATGTTTCTTATCAAGGAAGAAGAGTGTGCACTTGAGAGTGAGTTGAGTGTGCGTCACTGTCCGGCTAGTACTGACCTGATCACAGTCTCTGGTCTTATATATATGAGAGGACTGATCACGTGACGACGCCTAGCACCTGATCCACCTGTTAGACGTTACGGAAAAAACATAATAGAAGATTTACGGAGGTCAACTTAGGTCAAAGTAGGTACGATGGGCGGGCAAGTCATAATCACTTGCCCGCCCCCTGGACACATAATCCTCTCACCTGTCCTGATTCCCCGTTCCTGTCCGCTGTGGATCCGAATTGTAAGGATATGGATACAAGGAAGTATACTGTTTTTAATGAAACGCATCACAGAAACAATCACATTTAAAGAAATGAGCATATATCTTAATTTAGGAATCAACACAAGGAAACTATATGTATGCCTGGCAGTGTTTTATTTATGGGATAATCTGTCATGATATCCTAAATGAATGTACACGCCACCATACAAACGATAGTGCACTTCATACAAACAAGAAATCATATGAATACCGTATTAGCTATAGGATCTGATTATCAAGAGTCTTGGATATGGGAGCTTAATCCGGTCAAAGGGTGGGGCAGCAATTATGACTTGCCCGCCCATCGTACCTACTTTGACCCGAGATGCCCTGAAAGTAACCCAAAGACGGGATTATGTGACCGTTTTTCTCGCCTTGAACAAAAGATTCTTAAAGAATTTCAGTTAGTTAAATCCACTTTTTATTCATACTCATGTGATCGCACACATCGTGGGCTCTTACGACCACAGGCCCAACAGCCTAAGGGTCTACACACCTGTTCATGACAAGCATGCCTGCTGCTCCTTCCCTGTTCCTTCGACTCAGTGTTGGTCACTGAATAGTTAAGAACGGAATGCACATTCGGTGGAGCACCGGCACTGTAGAATCAGTATTTACGTTTAACATGCATTTATTCAATATAACATTCAAAGAGGATACAAAAAGACCAATAAGATTTAAACTAATCCATTGAGAACTCATAAGCACCTGATGGAGATTATGGTGTGTCTGAACAATCAGTGGAGGGGTATTTTATCAACGCTGCCACAAATAGATAGATGAATATATAGATAAATAAGTAAATGGATAAATAGATGAATAGATAGATATATATAATATATATATACATATATATACACGTGTTTATGTATGTATCCATATACGTATAGATTTGTGTGTACATATATATACATACATACAATATATATATATATATAAATGTGTGTGCATGTGGAAATGAGACGTCTCCGTTTAGAACACCCGTGAACACCAAACTGATGACCTGGAAGTCGAAACCTGTCATTTGCAATGTAGAGGTGTTGATGATTACAACACAACTCTTTGGGGTGAAAATGCGCTTTGTCCTTTTGTCTCGCCAATTGGACTGTTTTAGTAGCCTTAGTTTTCCATTATATTGGACCTTTTAGTATTGACTTTAACTGATATCGTTGCTGCTCCTATTATATCATTAACTATTATCACTTCAATTATCATTATTATGCCACTTGAAGAGAAACAGTTTATAACAAGTCTAGGATGAGACAAAAACAATTAGTACAGTAGACAGGTAAAAAAAAAAAAAAAAATCTGCAGCATATTTCTAGGGCCACATGTTTATTAGAAATATACAGGATACAGCCCCAAAATATGTTCCATACGATTTAAATACCGGAACCAACAAAAATATTTTGTTCGTATATATATTTTTTCCCTTTCTTTTCATTTGATTTTTTTGTAAGTGATTTAATTGAGATGTTCTGAATTCTACTGTAAGTTTGCCATTCTAAAATAACATTTACCATTAATAATGATGTTGACATTACCTTTTTTATATGAATCTATCTATATATCTATATATCTATACTCACCATTTATCTAATTATTTATTCATTTGTTTATCTGTTCATTTAGCTTGATAAGTTAGTCTATGAAAATAACTGTAAACATTAGGATCTTACTGCGATTTAACGATTTTTTTTCGAATTGCGTCTGATGTCTTTTAGTGAGACATTTTTGAGGGTTTTACCGTACCTACTGACCTAGTTTATCTGCACTGGGTAGATCTATTATTGAGTGAGGGTTAAATTCAGACAGTTCGGAAAATTAGATAAGGTTTATTAACTTATGCGAGATAAATTACTGACTAGAATTTCATCTGGGATAAACACAGTGAGAACACAATCGACTCCTGACATGTCAGTCGACCGGTGCGAGGGCGCTGCGCAGCGCATGTCCTCGTGCGCCGACATGAGGGCCATGAGTTGGTGCCTGGAAGGAGGCTGTTGAGCCGTGTATTTGCACACAAGGCCGCTCTCGCACGGACAAAGCTGGTTCATGGAGTAGTCGAGGCCGCCCTCAGGGACGTAGCACTTGTGGCCCAACGGCACACGCCGCTGACACACCTGCTCTCCATGGCGACGGGCGCAGCACATCCCTGCTCCACAATCCCGCTCCTTGCGGCACCTGGCGCCCTCACGCCCACGCTTGATGCGCTTTTGGCACAG